TTATCTTTTGAGGTTAGAATCTATCTAATAGAGAAATTGTGCAATTTGAGCAAAAGGCACAGGTATCCTATCCTGTTACACTTAATGATAAAACTAAACTCACCTTGTAACTTTATTTTTCTTAGTTTATATTGAGTTGGGACTTGGAAGAAATGGTTTATTCTTTTCAAAGGAGAAAAATAGGCTCTTTTTGAAAATTTACTATGTCTCACATTCATGAGAAAGCAATTTGACTAATACTTACAACAAATTTCTAAGGCCAAAAGATTAGGTTTTAGGTTTTAATGTTCATTAATTTATCAGAAAAGCAGCTCTCTTTAGCTCTACTATACATTTTTTTAAATGATTACTTCTGTTTCTCAGATAATTGTCTATGCATTTCAAGGTCAGGGTATTTTGCTGACAGTTGATACTATGTTTAATTAAAGGCACTTTTAGTGGACAGTTTCGTTGGGTGAAAAGTGGATGGTGATGAAAATAGATTCTAGTTCTCGATTATGTGATGGAGACTTTGCTTTGGTTTATTTTGTGATTTTCATCACTAGTTATCATGTGCACTTTGCCATTCTTCAAAGAACAGGCAAAGCTTCTTATTATGTCTTCACGATGGTGAAGACATTGGTAGAGAAATGGCTTGGTTTGCATAAGCAATGTGTTTCCTAAATGTTATAGTAAATTTTAATACTTTACTTATAGACTTAAGAATGATTTGTTATGGCATAAATAAAATTTTGTTTTTCAATTTTATAAAAAAAGTAAATTTTACTGAATTCCAGCTTTGTTGGAATATCCCAAACCAGGAGAAATATAGAATTGCTTTCATTGTAATATGGAACATTATCTACACTTTGTTACAATTTACATTTTTTAAAAAATGAATTTTATGTATATTTAAGGTATACAACATGATGTTTTGAGATACACATGAAGAATAAAAGGTTACTATGGTGAAGCAAGTGAATATGCCCATCATTTCACATAGTTACTCAATTTTTCTGTGAAAAGCACAGCTAAAATATACTCACTTAGCATAAATACCAAATGTAGTACAATTTTGTTACCTATGGTCCTCATGGTATATATTAGTATATATATTAATGGTATATATTAGTCAGAGGATACAAATGAGCAGAAGCAGATACATGAATGAAGGAGTATAGAGATCTAACATAGAAGTTCACTTTTCTAAATGAAGAAAATATTTTAGAACTCATTATTTTTAAATTTTTATGCCTACCCAATCTTATATGCAATTTATTTATAAATTTTGTAGCCTCTTAGCTAGAATATTATCAATGTCATATATACAGGAAGATTTGACACAACTCTCAGTAAATGCAAGAATACGTACACATAAAATTCTTAAAGATATTTAAGATTTAAACAGCATTAACAAATTTCATCTGTTGATGTGAGAGAAGAATGCATACTCAACAGTTGCAAAATACACATTCTTTTCAAGTGCACAATGGAATATTTTTCAAAGTTCATCATATGCTAGTCCATAAAGCATTCTTTTTTTTCCCATAAAGCATTCTTAACAAATTTAAAAGAATTATAATCATACAGTTGTCTCTAAACATCAAGAATATAAACTAGAAAATAAAAACCTAAAATTAGCCAGATGATTTCTGTATGTTTGCAAATTAAGCAAGTAACTTCTAAACAGCCCATTGGTAAAATAACAACAGAAGGTAGAAAATATTTTGAGCTTAATGATAAAGACAATATATCAATGCTTGGAGCAGTCAGGGAAAATCTTACTTGCATTTATTAGAATATAAGAAAGACTGAAAAACAAATGCATTAAATGTCCATTCAAGAAGTCAATTCACTTAACATAATGTCCTCCAGGTCCATCTATGTTGTCACAAATGATATCTAAACATCTCCATAAGAAATAAAATATTTGTCAATTAAAACTAAAATAAAGGCATCATTAAAGTCCTCCAGGTTTATGCATGTTGTCATAAATGGCAAGATTTCCTCTTTCTAAGTTTGTATAATATTCCATTAGATATTTTATACATATATATGCATATATATATATGCACACAGGCTACAAAGTTTCAGTTATGTAGGGTAAATAAATTCTGGAAATTTAACATTGAGCATGGTGACTATGACTAATAATACCATATTGGGGATATATATATATATATATATTTAAAATATCATATTGGGGAGACATATATATGGGTATATATGTGGTTGCATACATATATCTCACATTGTCTTTATCCATTCATCTTTTGACAGGTTGATAGAATTTAAGATGTTTCCATATCTAGATTATTGTCAATAATGCAGCAGTATACCTGGAAGTGTGAATATCTGTTCAAGATACTGATTTCATTTCCCTTGGTTGTATACCAAGAAGTGGGATTGCTAGGTCACATGGTAGTTCTATTATTCATTTTATTTTATTTTTTTAGGAACCTCCATTGTGTTTCCATAATGGCTGTACTAATTTACATTTCCACCAATAGAGTACAAACGTTCCCTTTTCTTCACAGTGAAAGACAAATACCACATGATCTCAATTACATATGGAATCTAAAAAAGTTGATAGTGTCAGTAGAGAATAGAATGGTCGTTACCAGGAGCTGTGAAGGTGGGGGGCACAGTTGAGAGATTTTGATCAAAGAATACAAAATTTTAGCTAGATAGGAGGAATTCAAGAGATCTATTGCATAACATGGTGACTATAGTTAATAACCATGAATTTCATTCTTTAAAATTGCTAAGGGAGTAGATTTTAAGTGTTCTCACCACAGAAAAAATGATAAGTATTGGTAAGGACACGGAGCAATGGAACTGTTATGTCCCACTGGTAGGAATGTTACTGATAAAACAACCTTAGGGGAAACTGCAGCCATCTGTAAAAGTGAACATATAAACATTCCACTTAACACAAAAGAATTGCTTTCAGGATGTCCATAGCAGTACTATATGCAATACACAAAACTGCTAACAATGCAAACAGTCCCTGATTGAATGGTTACATAACCTGTGGTATATTCACACATGCAATAACACAGCAGGGGAAAGGATGAAACTAAGGCAACATGCAGCAATGTGATCATATTTAGAAAGTTAACATTGTGGATAACAGTAAGATTCAGAAAATTGTGTACCATATAATATAATTTTAATAAAGGTAAGGAATAATAAAATCTCAATAATATACTTTAAGGATAAGTTTAGCATTAGGATTACATCTGAGGAGAGACAGACTAACATCATCAGGGAGATACAAACAGGTGGTTTTAATGACATTGATAATATTCTAGCTAAGAGGTTATAAAATTTATAAATAAATTGCATATAAGATTGTATAGACATAAAAATTTTAAAATAATAACAGTTCTAAAATACTTTTTCTCATTTAGAAAAGTAAACTTGTTACACATTAGATCTCTACACTTGTTCATCCTCATACCTGCTTCTGCTCCTTTGTACCCTCTAATATATCACATGAGGACTATAGGTAACAAAACTGCACTATATTTGGGATTTATGCTGTGAGTGTATTTCAACTGCTCTTTTCACAGAAACCAAAAATTGAATAACTATGTGAGACGATGGGGATGTTCATTTGCTTCACTGTAGTAATTCTTTTAGTCTTTATGTGTATCTAGAAACATCTTGTTGTATATCTTAAATATACATAAAATTCATTTTTTTTAAAATGTAAACTGTAACAAAGTGTAGATAATGTTCCATATTACAACAAAAGCAATTCTATATTCTTCCTGGTTTGGATATTCCAGTATGGCTGGAATTGAAGAAAACTTATTATTTTATAAAATTGAAAAACAAAATTTTATTTATGTCATAAGAAATCATTTTTAAGTCTATAAAGTAAAGCATTTAAATTTAATATAACATTTAGGAAACATATTGCTTACGCAAAACAACACAGTTCTTTACCCAATATCTTCAGCATCATGAGCACAAAATAAGAAGCTTTACCTCTTCTTTAAAGAATGGCAAAAATGCACATGATAACTAGTGATGAAAATCACAAAAATAAACCAAAGTGAAATATCTATCTCATAATCAAAAGCTATAATCGGTTTTCATCATCATCCACATTCCATCCAATAAAACCATGCACTGATAGGGCTTTCAAATAAATACAATGTCCTCTGCCAAACAAATATTCTGAACTGAAAATACCTGGATAATGACCTAAGGAGTATAAGTAATCTTAAGACAAAATGCATAGTACAGCTACCAAAAGCTGCTTTTCTTTTTTTTTTTTTTTTTTTTTTTTTTTTGAGACAGAGTCTCACTTTGTTGCCTAGGCTAGAGTGAGTGCCGTGGCGTCAGCCTAGCTCACAGCAACCTCAGACTCCTGGGCTCAAGCGATCCTTCTGTCTCAGCCTCCCAAGTAGCTGGGACTACAGGCATGCGCCACCATGCCCGGCTAATTTTTTCTATATATATTAGTTGGCCAATTAGTTTCTTTCTATTTATAGTAGAGACGGGGTCTCGCTCTTGCTCAGGCTGGTTTCGAACTCCCGACCTCGAGCAATCCGCCCGCCTCGGCCTCCCAGAGAGCTAGGATTACAGGCGTGAGCCACCACGCCCGGCCAAAAGCTGCTTTTCTGATAGAATAATGAACATTAAAACTTAAAATACACTCTGTGGCCCTAGAAATTTGTTCTAAGTATTAATCAAATTGCTTTCTCATGCATTTAAATGATAGTAAATTTTCAAAAACAGCTTGTTTTTCTCCTTTGAAAATAATAAACCATTTTCTTCTAAGTTCCATTTCAATATGAACTAATAAAAATAAAGATAAGCTTATAAGATAAGCTTATCTTTATTATTACTTGTAATGGCATACCTGTGCTTTTATTCATCATACAGAATTTTTCCATTAGATTGATTCTAATCTCCAAAGATAATTTGTTCCACTGTTATGATGAATTTGTATAGATAAAAGAGAAGCGTCCCTAGAGAATTCATTGAATTGACTGCATAATCCATCGTTAGAATTTACTGTCTGTTTGTTGCTTAGAACTAGTAACAAACATATACAGTGTGGAAGGCATTCTTATTCTATCCATAGTTAACTTTTCACACCAGAGTTTTTCCATAGCATTTTTCATCTCTGAATTTCTCAAGGTATATATTAAAGGATTCAACATGGGAGTGACAATTGTATAAAACACAGTCATATATTTGTCAATGGGAAAGTTGGAGACAGGTCTAACATACATGAAAATACAGGGAACAAAAAAGAGGATGACCACGGTGATGTGGGAGCTGCAGGTAGAAAGGGCCTTACCCCTCCCTTCCTGACTGTAACTTTTAAGGGAGCTTAGAATGACTCCGTAGGAGATGAGTAGAAGGACAAAGACGACCATGCAGATGGCTCCACCATTGGCAACCACAGTGAGACCTATAAAGTAGGTGTCAGTGCACGCAAGTTCCAATAAAGGGTACATGTCACATATGAAGTGGTCGATGACATTGGGGCCACAGAAGGGGAGATTGTATACAAAGACAATTTGGACCAAAGAGTGCACAAAACCTCCAACCCAGGCCACCACCAACAGAAGGATGCAAACGTGTCGATTCATGATGGTCAAATAGTGCAGAGGCTTACAGATGGCCACGTAGCGGTCATAGGCCATCGTCACCAGAAGGAAGACCTCAGCTCCACCAAACAAGTGTTCTACAAAGAGCTGGCCCATGCATGCTTGGAAGGAAATCATCTTTTTATCACAGAGTAGGTCTGCAAGCAATTTGGGGGAAATGGCAGTGGAATAAGCAGCATCCATGAGTGACAGGGAGGCCAAGAAGAAGTACATTGGGGAGCCCAGGGAGGGGCTGCTGATAACAGTCACCATGATGAACAGGTTGCCCACCATGGTCACAATGTATATGAGTAGAAACATTACAAATAGCACTTTTTGCCCATCCGGATCTTGAGTGAGGCCCAGAAGGACAAATTCTGTCCCATTGTTACTCTCTCCCATTTACTCTTGGGTACGGCTTGCATCAGAGCTGAGAGCTCAGGAGAGCAGCACCTGTAAGGAAATTGTGAACAAAATATGAACACATTGATGATGTCAGGGAGCACATCTTCATTATCGTACCCTTAACAGTGGTTCACGCACAATAAACCTTTGCTAAGTATCTACTGAGTTCCTCTGCTGAAGCTTCCATTAGACCTTCCTGTAACAACTCCTTTTTCCTCAGTTGATTTGTTTTGATTCTACAGGTAAATGTTTCTATCACTAAGTCTTAGTGCATATTCTATAGAGAAAAATAGTTAAGGGCCCAGCAATTTTTCTTACATTTAAAACTCTTTATTTAAAATACTTTACTTCTTGGTATAGGCATCAGCTATGAACAACAGGGACAGTGTTCCTGCTCTCAAGAAACTTTCTCTCTTGTGGTGTCAATAAAATCTAAATAAATAAATTGAAATAGAGTTAGTCCTTTGAATTTGGAGCATTTGTGGTATCTTTACAATATGAAATGTGTAGCACAAAACATAACCTCTTCTGAAATATCTAACTCAATACTATGGTAATCCACTGTCATACCTTCAATACTTCTTGTCTGAAAGAATATTCTGTCTTCATGAATCTCTGGTTAAACACCAAGGGACTGGATTTTGAACTGTATTAAATAACTACAAAATTATTTAGCATTATTTTTTGGTCTGACTCTATCTGCTTTTTAAGAAGCTATAATTTCTTCATTTCATCTTTACCTATAGTACAATTCTTAACATCCTTATACACTATCCTGATTTTTGGCAATTGATTTTGAACTGACCTATCACCAGTACCACTTTTGCAGCTAGTATTATTTTTCAAAACTCTTGGAGTGAGCTAGACAGTGAAGAGACAGAAAATGGACACTGAAAAGAGAAGTAAGAACAGTGGTACATGGGTTTATTTATAATACTGTTTGCCTACTAAGAGTGCTCAAAAATAGAACTTCAGTGTTCAGATCCCCAAAAGAGGCATACATGAGGGAAAATTCCAATCTCAATGTAGGAAGACAGGGGTTTGAGTCATTTTCTAAGTATAATTACAAGTCTCTCTCAACTTGCTCATTGGAAAATAATGGGATCGAACTGGACAATCTCAGAGTCCTTTCCAGTTGAACTGTCTATGACACTGTTACTGCAGCCCTACTTTATTCTCCTCTGCTGACATTTTTTTCACTCTTCATGTTTTTGTACTTAAATAACAATATCCCAGACTACCAGTGTTGTTTGAAAAATGCAAGCCAGTGGCAAATGAGATAGATCATTACAGTGAGTAAATTATGGCTCTCAGTTTCTCATCAGGGTGCACCTATTTAAGATCCAAGGCATCGCTGGAGAGAGAGCACAGCGCAGTCGTCAATAATGTGGACTCTGGAGCCACACTGCCTCTGCTGCGATCCCAGTGTCCCCACTTCCTATGAGACCTTGAGCTACTTAATAAGCCTTTCTGTGCCTCGGTTTCATCATTTGTAGAATGGGGACACCCCTAGCGTTTACCTCATAAGCCTGTTGTATCACGACAAAGCAAGTACTTAGAATAGTGCCTGGCACTTGGTAAAGCCTCAGTAAATGAGAGCTGTTATTAGTGTCCTTCAATGCTTCACTGTGAACACTGGATCAGAAAAAATCTTCTGCATCTTGGACAACTTGAAAAGACATAGTCTAGGATAAAATGAATAGTATACCCAGAACCCATTAACTTCTTTGTGGGGATATGATAAAATTGTATTATTTACCTAACTAATCATATGTGAGTAGTAATTTTACCTGTGCTAGGATGGACTTTGACAGAGAGGCATCTAAAATAATAAGGGAAAAGTTGGACCCATCAGCAGAGGGAGAGCAACATAGAAAATGAAAGAAAAGAAGGATCAAATCAGGGAATAGAAATTATGCTTAATAAATGAATATCCACAAGTAATAAGATAATTAAGTGAGACTAGTATTCTTTAAAACATAGTCTTCAGAAAGATTTGTTTCAGTGAGGAAGTACTGGAAGCCCAACCTCCTGAGGATACCTGGGGCTATGCAAGGAAGATTCTTGGGGCAGCTGTAACAAATAAGTAGAGACCAGATCCTAGTAAAGAAAACTTTTAAAAATGCAGAAAGGAAAACAATATTGATTTTTTAAAGTTTCTAGATCTGATGGTTAAGGGCAAACTTAAAGAACAGAGAAGAATGGAATAAGTGCAGATACAAACCTAGACTTTCTGGTTATTCACAGCTGAGGAAAATTAATAAACCTCAAATTGTAGTCAAGATGATTCCATTTACATAGATTTGGCAGTGGGACAGGTCATGTGCAGGGAGAATTTGAGCTCTTTCTAGATGCCAGCTGTGATGAACTACACATCTCATTCACATAATTTAAGTATTCTGTCATTGTTGAAGCTATAAACCAATAAAGGCATAATTATGAAGAACATAATGGTGTAACAGTCTATAACCAATTCTTTTTTTTTAATCCACACCTTAATTTCTGCAAGCTTTAGTGCCTTTTCTCTCTTTAATCATTATGATAGATTTCACCAGAATAAATCTTTTATTGAACAATTTAACTATGTATTTGTAATTTAGGGTACATAAACTGTCCTTCATAGTTTAAATTATCAAATATTTAATATTTTAAAATAGTATTATTAGGCTTTCAACTTAAAACACTACTTTAACACTTTCTAGAAGAAAAATAATTTAACCTAGTTTCTTTAGAACATGACATTTTTAAAAGATATATTCCCATAATAACAAAATAACCTCTGTAATATTTTACAATGATAGTCTTAAAAATCATTCTAAATGACAGTAGACAAGGTAATGTCCAAGTGTCATTTTTGTTGGGATATTGTCCCTAAGATGTTTGCTAGGATAATTTTTAGATTTATACATCAAAGCCCATACTATGCTTCCAGAACATAATATGAATTTTGTATTTTACACTTTAACAGGCTTGGTATGATATGCAATTTTAAATCCCTAATTCAAATATTTAATAGTAATTTTGAAGGTTTATTAACATATCATGTAAAATATAATATCCCAAAGACTGAGAATATAAACCTATTGGTTTATTCGTTACATGTGTAAATGTAACATGTTTCTCTTCTTATTTGGCAACATTTTCTATTTGATATGGAAAATATCAAGCTGTATACTGTAACCAAATATACTTTGTATATTCTGATTAATTTCTGTTTTGCTAGCTTAATTTTTCCAGTTCAGATTTGTCTAAAGAAAACATATGATATTCAAGACTTTAGCTGTATTTCAACATATCACAGGGATTTCCAATGAGTATTCCCTGCCAGTTGTTTCAAGAACTCACATCTTGGGTCTTATCTTTGGTCCGGAACAGCCCATGCTTCTCTCACTAAAGGTAACTTTAGATACCTCATGCATCTATGTGTGATCATAGAACACATGATAATATGTGGATGACCAGTGAATCCAGAAATATTAATAGATCCAAGTGGGAACATTTTCCATATTTCCACACAGGCTTCCAATTACCTCAGTTCTTCAGAGAGGTATAGAAACTATGCCTAAAATATAAACACAAGACACTTAAACATAATGTCAATATTTACTATGAAAAAGTAGCTGAATATTCTCATCTGCTGGAAACATTCCTTCTTGGGAAAACAAGAATTCTATGTTTGCATGACTATGTAAAAATTGACCTAATTAGTGGAAAATAAAGCCAAGCCCCCTTATTTGGTGGCAGAAATAAATAAAACATTTAACAACCTGAAACTTAGTTACCTGAATTTATCTCTTCTCAGTCAATTTTAATGAAGCAACCAAAAATTACAAAGATTGAGGATTTATGATAACTTTCATATCTTACATAGCTATTAAGCTCTGCACTCAACAAGGCAAATGCTGGGATTTAACTTCATGGAAAAGCTGATGACAGAGTTTTCTCACAGGTAGAAGAACTCTTCAGTTTTTCAGTCATTCAAATGGCAAACCCCTTTGACCACTGCTTTGCTATTTAAAAGTATCTCCCAATCTCATCCAAAGAAATCGAGCCCTTCCACAAATTTCTCCAAGCAATGATGGATATAAAAGAAAACATCACAGCTAGAGGACTAGATACCAACTGCATACGTACCCCAGCTTGGGCATGAAATTGAGTTTTCTGAAATCTCCTGGGTTATTTTATCAGGAAAATAATTCTTCCATTTATATGTGCAGGCACAGTTTATGACTTTTCAAATCACTATAATTTTAAATGAAAGAGAGTGTAAGGTCATTATAGGTTAGGTAATTAGAATATTTGGAACAAATTCAGATGAAGCAATCTCGCTAAACAGTTTTCTTCCCTAGAACAATCCCTAGAGGAAAAAGATTTGGGTCTTGCCAAGAAAAAGTAGCTGAATGCCAAGGAATGTGAAAAGCTTATAATGTGAAAGAAAAATCCTATAGTAAATTGAATAATAAATTATGAGTTTCATATTATAATATATTTAGGTAAGGCAAGTCAAATTTAAACCAGAATGAAGGAGGATGCATTCCTAGGTTCCCTTACCCAACCATATTCCCAGCAAAGGAGGGTTGTACTCAGGCTGTTAGAAAGTCTCTGCCCCTGAAGCCCTGTAGCTCAAAGACAGAGAGCCCTAGAGCTGAAGTTGACATTCTTATTCTCTGAAACACAGATAATCTTAGTTCTGCAGCTTTAGGTTAGAGTAGAGGGTACATTGATGAAGGCCTGCATCTGCGTCAGATGGAACCATAATGATCTTTAGTCCATTGATTCAATCTCTTTATTTTAGTCCAATATCAATTCAATGACTATTTCCACAAGAAAAAAATTGTTTTTTTTCAAACACAGGAATAGCACCTAAATGCTTCCACTGTTATTTCCTTAACTTGCTCTGTCATTGGCTCCATTGAGCATCTGTATCTCATCACATGTTTAGTTAAATATTGGATCTTCTGTGCCATAAGGGCCTTAGATAAAGAGTCACATAAATA